TAATCTACAAGCATCTTCTACCTGAAGAATCTAAATCAGTCGTCGTGGGTGGCATTCAGCTCAAAGGTTAGAATGAGGGGTCACATCCTAGCCACTGCTAGCCAGAGAGAGAAACCTTTCTCTTTCTGGCTAGGATGATGGGAGATTCCGATGCAAGCGTCCGTGCTTCGGAAAGTACAGATCGTCATCCTAGTCCTGGGCGACTGGATTCTCCGTGGCCCTGAGATTCTTGCAGCCTCGCCCGAACGGTCCTCGCCAAGCAGTCGGTGGTTCCCTCAGGGTTCAAGGGAATCAGGCCTGTATTCTTTGCTGTTTTCAGCACAGGGTACTGCATCGTTGTGTGGAACACATGGGTGTCGTACTTTTCCGCTGGGAGGGGGATCGTATTTGGTCGTTGTTGGGAGGGGGGAGGGTCGCATGTGACTTTGAGAGAAATTTGCCACGTTGGGAAAAATAATCCCCGCCTGTTCACTTTTCGCTCCCCACACCCTTAGTTCGTGGCGCTGCCAAAGTTCTATATAAGTACTATTTGTGACAGTAGGGGCTATTAGTTGCTTGCCGGCGGTTCCCACTCCACCACCCCCCCCCCGGCATCCCCGGCACCAACCCCTTCCCGCTCGATGGAAAACTTTTGGGTGAAAAACTGGAAAATGTGGGAAATTGGTAGGTAGATGTCAGGAAAAGGGAGGGGTCGTAGTGACACCACCATTTCACACATCATGATGCTGTAACCTGTTTCGGCATATGAATGAATTGACCCCTTGTACCTTCCTAGCTTCTAATGTGGCACCTTCCACTTTGGCGCGATAATCGTCCAACCCCAACGCCGCGTTGAGGCAGTGGCTAGGATTTGTGGGAGCACATAAGTAACGGAATAAGTCTTGAAGTCATTATAAGTTATACAGGTGACATTTTTATTGTTTCTCAAGAATCGGCCTGTTTTAGGAGCGGCGCGCCGGAACAAGGGCACTGTGCATGTGGTTTTCACGCCATTTCAATCGGCGGTCTTTCCGACGTCTCCCCGAATCACTTCATGATATGAAAGGGGACTGGGCGGGCGCTGTCACCTGGACAATCGAAACTCCGCCCCCTCCCCGTGTCTCTAAACTAACCTTGTGTCAAGTTGATTTAAGCACATTTCTTGATTATTTCGGGTGCATTTCCGCTCATGACTCGTCCCAGGAGAACTTGCCAGGGTGTTTCGAGTTGCACCAGTTACCCCTAGCCTTTATTTGCGATATTATCTGCTCAAGGCCTTATACAGTTGTGTTTTGATATGTACCGCTTCCAAACCTATAAGTAATTGTCAGTCTGTTCCCAAATCTCTACTCCGTTGCTTTTTGGTTCATTTAGACCATTTAGGGGGGAACGATTCTGATGAGTCTAATATCGATAAATCAATAAATTTTCAGATATGACAAGGAGCAGGTTAAATTCAGAAACACATGAGGAAACGCAGAAATCGATTCTGAAGAACGCCAAATTACCTATGGATTCGGCAGCGGTCATTGAGCCGAGTACAAGTGAGGAAAAATCCAAAGAAAATGGCGATGAACAGTCAACCCTGCATGCGTACGAGAAGAATCGGCAAGCAGGTACGGTAACGAGCTTGAATCCATAAATAACTGTAGTAAGGTAAAAAATGTGTGCTGGTAGTTTGGTAAGCAGGATGTTTTCATAAGGAAAGAACAGGTTTTCCCGCGGTCTACTTCACAGTAAAATAACGATCGTGACTACTGACTGCTGTTATTGATATAACACTATTTGACCGCACAACTGGAGTGCGGAAGGAGGTTTATTGGGGAGGGGGGGGGAACGAGAAAAATCGATGTTTGTTTTCAAGATGTCATTTCGCCCGAGGAGACAAGTGCCGTACCATGCGCTAAATTTGTCCAGTCTCTGACAGGATGTGAAAAGTAGTATGCCTAAAGATCTTCACGTGGGCCTTTCTATATAGCCTAGTTTTTGAGAGCAAAACCAAAAGTTAACTCGTGGAGATCTTCGGAAATAATTAATAGCTCTGGGCGCTAATAAGGAGGGGGCCCAGAAGGGATTTCATATGCAAAATAGGACCAGCTGGTCCGCATAGAATTACCGTACATGAATTTGTTCGTTCCACGCCAGGATTGTCCTCTGCCTTTAGGCCTTAACGACAGAAAGATGAATTTCCTTCTGAGACCTCTTATCATTCATATGAATTACGTGATACATTGAATTTTGTTCGTCCATCAGATTCCCGGTCTGCCTTTAGGCTTAGACAGAAAGATATTTCCTTTCTATAAGCTAGTTTTTGAAAAGCAATCACAAAAGTTAGCTGCGTGAGAATCTTCGGAAATAATTAATAGCTCTGGCGCGCTAATAAGGAGGGGGCCCAGAAGGGATTTTATATGCAAAATAGGACCAGCTGGTCCGCATAGAATTACCGTGACATGAATTTGTTCGTCGCACTCAGGATTCCCCTCTAGGCCTTTAGGCTTAAAGAATCAGAAGATATTTCCTTCTGAAGACTAGGCCTTTAACTCCTGGCGGTAGTTCGGATTTGCACAACGAGTCCTCTTCTAAATGCCCCCTTCAGAGTTATCGGCACCTGACTCTGTTCCTAGCTCTTCCTAAAACTTACATAGCCCATTGAATAGTCCTGCAACTTAAGAAGTAGCAGACGTGACTTAATAAAGTCGAATACTCTCTGCCTCAAAGAATCCAAACTTAAGCAGACGACGTTTTGTTGCAAAAAATCCAAATAGGGTGTTCAATCAAACATCGTACCATCCGCTTTGGTTGCAGGCTCTTCTCCTTCCGCATCCCAATTTTGGAGAATGGAAATAAGTAAGCAAGTGTTGCGAAACACAGCCATATTCGATAATCCGTGGAAATTGTGTATTCAGAGCTCGTCATTACCTCCAGATTCAATTCGAAAAAAGTGTTCTAATACCCCAAAAACCATCAGTTTTTTTTCCGAAATGCTGGAATCTATAAGATCTCGTGGTACACTCTATATCCTGCAGCGAATGTGTGCACTTCTTCTGAACATGGTGGCCACTGCTCCTTTGGAGGGGCATTTGTTCAAGAGAGTTGTAGTCATGTTCTTGCCCAACATACAACAGCATGACAGTAGTCTCAGAAGGAAAACCCATAGAAACAACCTATCTGGGCGCCAGTGCGCTCAAGCGGATGTGAAGCCACGCCTATTCCATGTGCGGGCTGTGGAGTGTATGATGTGGCGGATTTGCTCTAATTCTATGCTTTTCACATTTTGACTTCTGAGCTTAGTACCTGAAGGGTTCTCCTCGGCAAGTGGTTGATTATTCAGAAAGCATTCAATCCGTCCACACGGTGGTTCGGTTAGGCGAGCTGATTGGAGCGTCTAAGGATGTCAAATCACAAAGCTCCAACCAACGGCGACTGTAATGCCGACACCTACATCTACAGAAGAAGTAAGTTTGAAGCTTGAAATCTTTCCTTCTGGAATAATCTTTACCATTCACACACCTTGAGAACTATTCCCCGACAATCAACAATCGATCTTTACAGAATTCACGGACTCGTTCTATTGGATGTCACATTTGCACAAGAAAGTCGGACTTAGTCATATCATACTTCTATTGGTTCTGGCTGCCTATACAACACTTGGAGCCGTTGTCTTCTACTACCTGGAGACACCAAATGAGCGACTGGTAAGAAACTTCGCGTTGAAAAATCATGGCATCCCTGAAATCCTTTGCAGAAAGGGGAGGGCGAGGTAAGGAGAGGTGAAATTTATTCGAAGGCACAGCAGACTCTGACCGGGCGGTGTCCTGTAGTAGGCCCGATACCGCCTTCACGGTCAGAGTGTGGCTGTGCTGGGCTGTCATTGCGCCCCACTCATTGCTGTGCCCTCATTTGAGACATGATAAAGTGCACAGGCGCTTCGGGATAAAATAATAGCAGGCCTGACTCCGCCCGTCTAGACAGCGTGGACTGTACATACCCAGTGAAGACAGTACTTATGAAATTAGCTCCACTACATTATCTTACGCTGTGGTGCACGAGAAGAATAAGGGAGGGCTGGGATAGGATCCAGCGTTGGTAGTCTAATAGCTCGCCTATTTCCCCGGGGCCCTCCCACGCACCCCCCCCCATTGGTTTTCACCTGAAAGTGAAGAAAAGATGGAAATCAGAGCTGGTTACGTGTCATTAGAGGATCTCTTGATAGACAGCATTCCTTTGCTCGCTACCACTGGTCCTCCAAATCAGTGCTTCAATCAATACATCGAATTTTCGGCAGAACTTCAGAACTGATCTTTCGTAGGTGGTTGCTGAACGGAAAGTGATACTGGATAACCGAATCGAACAGCTCGCAGAGTATCTCAGTGAAATGGCAGAAAACAAAACTGCTGAAGAATTGGCGTTGGATGTGAAGGTAATTTCAGTTTTTTGAACATTAGGGTCAGAGTAGGCAGTGGTTCAGTGCTCATTCGCCCTGCGGATGATTGGGCATGTCGAGTGAGGGTGGGTTTGGCCGGCGCTGCAGCCCATTTCTGCATCCAATTGGTTGAAATGTAAAACGACAACAGCTTGGTAAAAACGAGCTAATACGAACGAGATGATGGCAGTTTGTCGCAATCCGCCGTATAAGAAAAATAAAAATGGAAAAACGGGCTGGCGCGTATCGCCAAACACGTTCCGCTTTGACAGGCCTCCTGGCCCAAAGAGTAAAAAACAGAAAGGAATGAGGATTTGGTGTAGCCTTGACCGGGACCAATCCCCAACGATGGCTTGGCTGTGCGGCATAACTAAAGTAATTACACCTGCAGTTGTACAACTCGTTCCTTGGTTATCACTAATGTCACTTCCCGCTCGAAATATACAGACTGATCGCGTCCTACGTTTTCTCTAGGCCGCCATATGTCGAGATATGTTTGAAACACTGAAGGAGCGCCTACAAGTGGTCGACTTTCTATCGATCGGCTGATCCTGAAAAGAACTACAAATGGACGTATGCAAGCAGTTTCTTCTTCGCCATGAACGTCTACACAACAACAGGTTACGGTAAGTGCAGTTGTGGGTGTCACAGAACAAAGACCGGTTCTGCAGAAACATACCGTTCGAGGTCACCACGCGTCTCTAGCCGACAGGAATGTTGCAGCAAAGGTAATGGTTGGAGCGGGGGGTCAAATTGTATTTGCGTCATAAAAGGGCTACCTTGAACGCCGACATTGGTGAAAGCCGCACAAAAGCATATAACAAGCTGTTCCCTAGGTGTAGATAAAGACAGTCGGCTACGTACTTTGCAGAGCGGGGAAGGGGGGGGGAGGGTTTCCTCTCTACCGTTTTGGAAGGAAGAGCATCCCTCCCGAACAACTGGTATCACTGGCAGCAACTGGTACTGGTATGATGCAATCGCCGCCTAACTCCTGCCCACGTAAGCCGTTCGAGGTCATATACACACGCTCTAGCAGACCGGAGTGTTGCACCGAAAGAATGGATGAGGAAAGGTGCTCGAAGTTCGCTGAATCTCCGTCCACTCAGCCATAGTGGACTGTGTCTTGAGTAACCTCCAAACCATGCGTTCGATTTTCAAATTTCACTCAGCAAAGCATCATTTCAGGATCAATCGCACCTGAGACTCGTGCTGGCCAGTGGTTCGTTATCATCTATGGTTTCATTTTCGTACCGGTGACATTGGTAGTGGTTCGTGACCTCGGCCAGTGGTTACTCTTGGTCATTACAAGATTCTACGCCAGGATGTTGTTGAAATACAGGTACTATCGGATGTTTCATTTTTGAGGTTATTGAAAGCGGTGTCTACGGTTAGTTGGTTATAGAAGAAGCTCATGGAAGGTGCGTATCTTCATTTCCGTTTTGAGGCGAGCGCGACTGCAGAGGCCTCTCAAAAAAGTTTATCGCCTTTGGGACGGTCATTACAATTAAAAGTGGAAGTGCTGTCTTGTTAACTATTAGGTCATCCCATTCAAAAGTGCCGTGACATGTGGAAAGGCAGGAAAGCAAAGGGAATAGGGAAGCGGGCTACTATACCATGTTGGAGGCTAGTACCTTTAGGCATATTTAATCGTGAAAATTTGGCGAACGCCACACAAGGCTCTTGAAGAAGAACCCGCGAGTGGTATGAAAATCAGCGCCGCGATTTTCAAATCCGAGACGTCATATGAGAGATGCGCACTGCTCAAATTCGACCGGAGTCCGGACCAGGTAGTTTGGTAGTGTGTTCTCGATAAAATAACACGGTGGAAGGTTTGGGTACAGGACCGCGAAGAAGAAAAGAAAGGAAAAGTTTGTTCGTGTGGATGGCCCCATTACAATGTTCACCGTCACAAGAAAAAGGGTGGGAACGAGGTCAAGCTTTGAATGTGTGGTCACAGAACTCTAAACCTTTGTCGAGCTTCCCCGCGAGTCTGACATCCCAGCTGCAACTGCTGCCCGAGTTATGTCCGATAAGCTGAGGATGGTCAAGAGGGTGTGCGCATGGGTACCTAATTTTCTTGTAGAAGCACGGAACGCAGTTACCTACATATTCTGTATCCTAGCACTAAAAGTTTCAGCGTGAGATATCATTCACCGACTGTAACAAACGCACGCACCGACCCTAACATAAAAATATGGTGCTCTTGGAACTTCGAGCAAAAAACTCACAATCGTCAATTTTGTATGAATGCAGATGAGAAGCCGCCCGAATTCTACCATGAGGAGTTACGTGGGTGCAAGTGGATGATCATCATAGCGAAGGATTCCGCTGTACTTAGCATTTTTGAATTGTGGCTTCAGAGCGGCTGCTAATAACCATGGAATAAAATCGTTAGCTGTCGGTGTACATTGCCTGTCCCCGATTAAGTGTAGTAAGGGCAGTGTGGGACACAAACAACACTGAGACCTGGGTTCAAAATTGCAAATTCGCCCAACATAAACCTTTCGCTATTCCAACAGCTTCTGGTCAGTTGAACGATACTCTCCGAAAGGCAAGGCATATACAATGTTTTGTCATTCGCCAAAATTGGCATCAACATCAATTTACTCGCACTTTGTTGAAAAATCGAAGGTACCAGAGGTCCAAGGCTTTCGGGGCACTGGGAGCGGGTCATTGGTGAAGGAGGGATTTACTTAACTTGAAGCCAAAATATTACTTTTTTATCTATTCTCCTCTTTGTTTTATTCGAATAAAACCGTCGGCACTTTTGAATGGGATGACCTAATAGCTAGGAAATGCTGTGCTCAGGCACGTCCTGGAGTTGAGTATACATTCAGCTGAACACGACCTTCTACCCTATCTCTTGAGTTTTACCTTTTTTGTTATCTTTTACATTGTCCATTGTCGTTGTCCACATTTTTAAATGTCAATTTTCAAATTTGTAGGCGCTGGCGTGGAAGAAAATCCGAGAACACCAACGAAGTGATCCGATTACCAATATTCATCAGTTGTCTGATTATGATAGGTAAGTCCCTGTTTAGTTTCATAGCTAAGCTATGTAAAAGCCCTCTCGTTATGGCTTTCGTGAATGTTTCTACCTGCAAATATTAATCTCTGGAATTACAAATCTTTCGTTTTCCGGCTCTATCAGTATCTACTGAGCAACTAAACAGCCGTTGACCACAGCTGGAGTAACAATTCTGATTTTCTTGTAGGTTTCATTGGCCTTTGTACGGTGTTCATCTACTATTTGGACGCATTCTCTGGCCCACCTGGTACCGGTCTTGACTGGTTCCACTCGCTCTACTTCTCTTATATGTCGTTTACAACCATTGGTCTTGGTGATGTCATGCCTAATAATGCCACGGTAAGTGTTCAGAAATTGGCACTGTTAGGCTTGAAGGTGGGGGAGAGGAATTCCGAACTTTCCCTACTTTCTTTTGGAAAAATTGTTTTGCTAGTTCATGTTTTGGTTCGTGCCTACGAAAATGAATATTTCATTCCCAGTCTTAGTGACCTCTTCAACTGGAATGGGTGTCGGTCAGGAGGTTTATGTCGCAGCGCTGCGCAGTGAGTGGGACAAGCGCGCGACCCAGCGACGATTTATCTACGTGGTGCGTGTGCCGCGCACGTAAAGCCACAGTCGCAACTCTGTAGCATTGCGACCCTCCTAGTCGACACCTACCTTACGCAGGTTTTGCAATGTTCCAAAATCCTGTCATTCAGTTCGCTCCAATCGTCTCAATTCTGTTTTTCCTCGGACTTCCGATTATGAAGGTCGTCAACAGGATGACCTACCTAACGGTGGAAAATGGAGCTTTCGGTGAGTGGACCATCTTATCTTTGCAATTCTCTAGTCGAATTCTAGCATGTTCTCTGTGGAGAACTGATTTTCATGGTGCTTTCTGAAAACTCTGGCGCTGAAACACAGCCGTAGTTGAGAAGTGCTCATTTATTCTTCTCCTGGGACATCTCCTTCTCTGGTCCCTTTCCAACAACAGATCGAAAGAAACTTAATGATAAAGTCTATTCTAGGACTTCTGACTGTTATGGAAAACAGAATCGACAACTACTGGGAGAAGAAACAGCCATCAGCGAACGGAGTAAGTTCTGTGCTTTTAAGACCCCGAAATTTCTCACTCAGTGGGAACCCCCTTCCGAATGCTATCCTCGCTCCCACCACCTTTTTCCGAAATTTGCCGTTTAGCGGGGTGGGGTACAACCTTCGATAACATATTAGAAAATCACTTTTGTTGAGCCGGCAGCTAAGGTGAGTCGGGAATGATCGCCATTTTCTTGGATTTTTGCCTTGGTTTCTGTCATAACGGGCTCAGTGTGAGTGAATTAGTCCAACCATACAGAGGCGGATTTCGCATATTGTGAGAATTGGTTTACCTCCACCGAAGCTCCTCCTCCCTCATGACGCTGGCTCATCACAAGGCATGTCCTGGCGCAAAACTTGGCACGTGAAGTGCTAGCACTGAACTAGCGCCAAACATCTTAAAATGGAAAAATGACAGGTCGAAGTGGTCCTGTTGAAATGGGATCTGCTGGGCAGACTACGTGCTGGCTTCCTCTCTGAATAGGGTTGAGGGGTTTCTACTCCTGGTAAAGGTTGAGCGGCAGCTGGACTGCGCATCCCTCTATGAGCAACGTAGCAACGAGATCACAAGGGATGCCGATGGATGAGCGGAGTTGGGCCAACAACTTGAACTTTCTCATTGACGCGCTCTCCGTTCTGAAACGAGAAAGTGGGTGTGGTGTGTAGAATGAATGAATTGGTCCGACTCCTCCCACTCGACTAGCGGGGACTGTGCCCTTGATTTTTGGATAGTTTCTCTAATTACCATCTTCGCGAATCGCGGATTACATAATTGATCTGTGTTCCAGGTGGAAGCTGGAGCAAATGAGGAAGTCACGAGAACGAAGGACGACAACGAAGAGGTACGTAGCACGTTCTCATCAACTCGCGATACCTAAACTTAGTCCTGGCGACGGAGCTAGGCCGAGTTCATGCGCACACCTTTGTGCTTGGAACAGAGTTCTCCAGTGAAAAGAAAGTGCCAATCATGTTCAGGGGTCAAACTAAGCTACGGGAAAGATATTTATCCAGATCTACACCTGGAAAGCCCTATCTCTAGAATCCGAGGCTGAATATCGGGAAAAGGGGAATCGAGACAGCGTTTGAACGTTGATTGTGGAATATGAAGCCTGCGGACTTAGTTGACAGTAAGATCAAGGAGAAGAACTTGAGGTGTAACTCGGACGAAAATTCGATAAATATGCATCTATTGAACAGAAAAATCTTTTCCCAATTTCAGATACCTGCTGAATGGGTGAACAACATCTCGATCCATTCGATCGCCACTTTCATGAAGGCGAATCGCGATGTCTACGGTGGAAGCTTTGGGAAAGTGAATCTCCGAGCCGCCGATGTCCTGCCATCGAATGAACAAGACACTGTCCGCTCCAGAAGATCGAATCGTTGACTGCACCTAAGTACTTAGGTGTCTATGTCGTGTGTGTGCATTGCCTGGTTGATAAGCCTTCAGAATCATTGAGGGCTACTGGGCAGGAGATCCGGATGGCGGCGGTGCCCAACATGCAGAAGACCGTTTTCTGGCTTGTTGGCCTTCAAAATTTTCGTTAAAGCATCTAAGTACAGACGCGAATGCTGCGCACGCTATGACTCTCGCACGTGCCTTTCGTCAGGTTGCCGCAACGCGGATCTCCCGAACAGTACCCCAATTCTGAGGGTTTCACCGTATGTGCTTATACCAACGCTATAAACAGTTTTTGCTCTAACCTTTGAGAGGTCGGTAACTTCAGCTCCTTTAGATATGTTTTTTCAGCCGTGGTCGAATAGTTCCGAGCCTTGTCCTCCTCTTCTTTCCGGCTCTCTTTTCTCTGTGTCCCACATGCCCCCGAACAGTGGTAGCGCACATTGTATTTCGCTTTATCATTGTTGCAATTGTTTCAAAATGCTCAATTCGATAACACATTCTTTTCTATATCATATAACGAGGTTCTGGTGAGTTATTCTAATTTTTTTAACACTTGTTACTTGAAGAGCTGTATTTTTAAGAAGTGTGTCAAACACCAGTGAACAACGTTGACGGACGGTCGCGAGACTACAAAATGCAAGATAGCGTGGGAAGGAGTAGTATGGTCCACAGGAAAACAGTGCAGTTTGGCGGTGGGAGTTGTACGGAATAAAACCGTAAAAACTGCGCAGTTTGCCCAGTAACGCATTTTATTCCCGTTCGTAGTCTCCTCGGAAGTGATGCCTAAAGAACACGTAGATGATTGAACGATCCATTGCCTCTTGCTGTGGTGTGATAGGATTGCTTTACACAGGGAATAGCTGGTTTCTTCCTGCATTAGTCTCACAGCTATTATTCCGAAAATGGTTTGCGGGCTGGAGGAGCCTCATTGAAGCACGTCGCCTTACACCTTCACTTTTTCTCGATCTTCTTCCACCGACTGGTCCAGTTGGACAACTTTACTCGATTCCTCTGTATTCAAACACCACTACCTACGCTCCTTATCGCGGATCCTGTGGGATCGGATTAACATAAGTATTAAAACCTCTCGCTCAATAGAAGACTGAGGGTGCCCCGTGCAACTGAGCAATCTCTGAACAAGATGTGGCAGAGTTGGAAATTCCCTCTGGCGGTATATAGGATCCTCAAATAGCCTTTAACACGAGACTGCCCCTGCAACTTCGGGAAATACTCATATAGCTCTCTAAAGTTCTGAAAACTGAGCGCGCTACTCGCGGGCAGGAAAGGCGGAATGGGGGCGGGGTTGGAAAGAAGCTCTGGGTTGCTCCGGCCAGGAAAGGTGAACGGCACTTATTCCGCTTCCAACTTTCCACTCGGCCAGGGGCTGCCTAGGCGGAGACTGAGTGGTGTTATGTGCACTCGCTGCTCATACGCTCTCAGTCCTACGCGCAGTTTGGGGTACTGTATGCCGCCTCTTTTTCTGAACTTATAATTGTGTCGTTATATCGGGACCTTCCAAAATATGGCAGCAACTCGGATCTCTAAGCCAACACCAGGTTTTGAGAAATCTCAGCGAGATTTGTTCATGGGTGACACCTTGGAAAGTAGCCTTGACGCCAGAAGAGTAGCCTAAGCTTGGCCAGAAAACTTGTTTTCTCACGGTCATCATAACAGCAGTATAAAAGCTTTTATCGTGCACACTCTGCACTATTATTCCATCCAAACAACGTCCATAACACATAAAAATAAGGCAATATTTATGGTCCTATCCCATGGCACTCCACTTCAGCATCGTCGCATCAGCTCGAACTGAAAGGAACATAATAAATAATAATAATAAAATAGGAACACTATGAGAAGCTTGTCGATGTCGCTAAATCAGGCTCTTGAGAGGTTCTTTAGTGTACCGCCCTAACCAAAAAAGAAGAAGGGACCCACCTGTTCAGAAATACTTCGAGGTATCACAAAGTTCCGTTCTTGGTCTAGATTATCATGACTATACACGGCTCGGGCTAATCCTCGATGAAGATCGTCGAACGCTTCAGATTCCTCTTCGATTCTGAGAAATAGTATAATTGATGCGAACACTCAGCAAGATTGTGGGATGCATGTTTGGTCGCTTTCAGAAGAGGAGATGGCGAATTTAGGAAAAATTTTACTCAAGATCAGAGCGTACCCAATCGCGTCACGTCTACCCCCCCCCTCCATCTCGCCCTATCGATAAACGAGTGTTTTGGACGGCTCCAGTACCTTTCCCACCACTCATCGAACGCCCAAAGCCGTGAGTATCGATGGAAACGAGTCGCGCCGAAACCCTTGTTCCGATGACACGCCCAGACTGACTTCAGTGATAACGACAGAACAAGGACTGACCTGTGCAGCTGATATTTTGACTGAGCCTCCGACTCCGTGCATAACTGTTCATCAACGACTTGTGATCCTGAACAATTCTATCAATTTTTTGCTTTCTTATTTTCTGATTTTCGTAAGCGCAATG